CCCCAAAACCCCAAAACCCCAAAACCCCAAAACCCCGGTTTGGGAGGAAAATATTGAGAATGGAGGAAGGTGGTTATTAGGAGGTTTATTGGGGGTTGAGGTGGAATGGAAGTAGGGAGAATGAGATTTAGGAAAATGGGATGAATGACGGTTTGGAGGGGAGATAGAGGGGTTTAGAGGGTCTGGAATAGGGGGTTAGCCTTAGGATGGAAAAAATTAAACGAATTTTGGTAATTTTTAAGAGAAATTTGAGATATTTATGTCTAATTTCTGAACAACTGTTTGTTTAAAGAGCTTGATATCTGGAATGGATGCATCTTTCCTGTCAGTCAACTTTCTGAAAAACACATCTTGTAAGCTCTGAAATCTTTGTAAAAGGAATTTACAAAGTGAAGTTGCTATATGATCGAGTGCGTACTCTCTATCTAAGCTTGTTCCATTCTTTTTATGGTTATATTTAAAATATCTTTCTTTTTCCCTGAATATTTTTACCTTTAAGCTCCTTTTGAATCCTTTTTGAATGTATTTTTGAAAGATTTAATATTGAGAAGGTATGCGACAAACGAGTAGATCTTTACCATTACTTCTTCTGAAATCTCAATATTGAGCATTAATAAAAATTCTGATCCATCGATCAACAACCAATTTTGAAGCCATTCATAAAGCTTAGCTGCATCTTTTTTGAGGTCTATCTTTTTCTCCTTTTTGTAGAGTTCGATTTTATTTTTGAAATAAGCCTTGCAGACTTCCTTTAATCCCCTCAAGCCAGCCTTATAAATTTTATCTTTTCTTTTGAAGTTCTTTGAGTATTTTCCTTTTCTTGCAGTACGACCTTTCACAAATTTATCGCTTTTCTCTTCTGTAACGACTATTTGGTTTTCAAGAGAATTCTGGTTATCTGTTTGAACTATTGGAGTGTACTTTTCTTCTTCTAGATTTACATGGGGGATCATTCCATCGATATCTTCTTGGGAATAAAACTGACTCTCATCAAATTCTTCGGGATCCTCAAAATGAAAGTGATATGAAATGTTGCTTTCGACTTCATCATTTGGTTCTTGAGGGCTGTCATTCTTAGTAAGGTTCTCATTGCTACCTGTAGATTTTTCAGAGCCACCGCTATCCTTATGAGGGAGGTCGTCCATATCAGAATCCTTAATGAATCCTATCTCCTTTTCAAATAATCCAGGAGGAGGAAGGAAATTGAAATCAAGGTTATCGTCAAACAAAGTGGTCTCCTTAAGAATGTTTTCAAAGGGTTTCTGAACATCTCCAGATAATAGATTTTCAAATTGCTTTTCCATCGAGTCTAATAGATTTTACAAATTTTCTCTCGTTTAAATAAACGGAAGCTTACAAGGGGTTTTGGGGTTTTGGGGTTTTGGGG